TAGTTTTTTATTCCTCCTTAATCTGTCAAAATTTTCAGAATGTATATCTTGCAAATACAATTATAAATACATTACTTATACAACTCTAAAATTCATATAAATCTACAGAATACTCAATAAACATGTTATGGTCATTTTTCAGAAAGAATTTCCCAAAAATAAGTTATAAATAAACAATTGAAGAGATAATTTTTGATTCCTCCTTAATCTGTCAAAATTTTCAGAATGTATATCTTGCAAATACAATTATAAATAAATTACTTATACAACTCTAAAATTCATATAAATCTACAAAATACTCAATAAATATGTTATTGTCATTTTTCAGAAAGCATTTTCCAAAAATATATTATAAATAATTCTTAAAAATTCCAAGAGTATTTATGACACAGATTTATCACATTTTCTTAAATTAATTTCATACTTAAATTTATAAATCAATTCCATGATATAAAAATTTATTATGAAACTAGACTTCTCAAATTTTATTTTTTGTTTAGAAATTATCAGATTTGGTTTAATATAAAATTTTTAATGATTTTTCAAACGCATAATAAAATCTGCCTAATGCTCCAGATTTGGTTAAAATTTTGTATAAATTCCTACAAAACTCAATAATTGTTGAACAATTTTGTGGACGAACTAGACATCATTATCAACAACTTTGTAGAAGAAATCATCTTCAAATTTTGAGTATAAAATTGTCTAAAAATTCGTACAACTTTCTGGCAGATTTAAAGGGCCAAATAACATCTTCAATAATCCTTTTAATGGCATAAACTACACATGCAAGTCCAAATTCCATAACATTATCATGATTTTCAGACTACCAATGACTGATATACCATCATGAATTTTCATACAATCATAAATAAAATTCTACCTATATGTTTAGTTAGACATTTTATCATATGTATATAATCTGAAAATTTCAGATAAAAAAAATGAGAGAGTTGAGAGGGTTTTCTTATTTAGTTGTAGGATTGAAATGGAATAATGAAATGGTAGAAAAATATGCAACCTCAACCTCTTCCTCTTCTTCCACAAGAATTTCCTCTATTTTTTTTTTATTAGCCTTTGAAAGCACGAACACAGTGTGTATAAACACTATGTGTGTGATATGAATATATAGAGCCACTTCTTTGAGGCTCTCTCTCTCTCTCTCTCTCTCACACACACACACACACATTCTTTCCATTATTATATCTTATTCACTTTCTCCAAGTTCTAAGAAGGAAGGCTTTCCCTAAATTCTAAGAAGGATGATGGGTTATGGTTCTTATACGACCATGCAAACAAGCAGGTGGCATAGCCACGAAAATTTCTTTTTTTTTTTTGTGTGTGTGTGTGTGTGTGTATTTGTATAGGATTCTTAAACCTAAGGTTTTTAACTAAGATATTTAACAAAGATAATTATCATGTTGAATCCTTATTAAAACAATTTATAAACAACAAATATTGAACATCCACAAAATTATTATTATTATTATTATTTTGAATAATTAAATGCGGGTTTTCACATAGTTGCTACTGATTTTCATTCAATCTATTTTGGTGTGCAAACTACCTACCAATTTTTGGCGCTATTGTTGGAGATTTCCAATAAGTTATTTAATTTAGAGATTTCAATTATTTTTTTTTGTTAATAACTTCTTTTTTTATTTTGTGTGTGTATGTGTGCGCGAGCGCGCAGATTGTCTTATATAGTTGAATTAAAAAATAAAAAATAAAAAATTGATACCGTGACACAGAGGAAACACCCATACTGGACATATACCTTGTAGACTAATTACTTGTGCTGGACAAATAATAATTGTCCTCTACAGTAGTCCAAATGTTATTTGTCTAGCACAGGTAATTAGTCCACAAGTTATATGTCCAGCATGGGTATTTCCTTTGTGTCACGACATCAATTTTTATATTTTTAATTTTTTTTAATTCACCTGCGTAAGACAATCTGCACAAAAGGAAAAATTAGTAACAAAAAAAAAAATGAAATCTCTAAATTAAATAACTTACTAGATGTTCCCAGCAACAACGCCAAAAATTGGTAGGTCGTTTGCACACCAAAATAAACTGAATAAAAATCTGTAGCAACTATTACTACATAGAATAGCGGTCGAGAACAGGTGTCGAACAATAGAGACTAACACAAGTTATTTTTAATTTAAAGATCTTTGGCTTGAAAATAGAAAGTGAGAAAAAGAAAAACCTTAAGGTTTAAAATCTACTAATAACCTTGTAATTGGGGGGTTGTATTTAGATTGTAGAAAATCATTGAGTTGGGTACTACGATGTATCTTCTGCAAATATTCTTCATTTTTTATCTCAAGTTTTTTCTTCTTTTGCAATGCTTGAGCCCTTTTTTCTTCTATTTCATTTTTTTTTTCATTTCCTTCTCAGTAAGGTGTTGGTTAAATGTGTCCAATATATTGTTAAATTTGTGAACTTCAGTTTCAATAGTTTGACTTTTTTGAAGTAATTCTTTTGCAGATTTCCTACCCGTATGCCTTTTATCCCTTACAGAGATACTACCCTCACAAATTGGATTATTACCAACAGTTGGATTGTTATCGACACTTGGACTGCTATTGTCTTCAAGAGAAATGCAATTATCCATAGGCGAATCGGGAATTGAATCGGTAAATGGTGTATGTATCCTTGATTTGACTGTGTTCGTAGGAGTTACATCTTGCCATTTGATATTGTTTTGCAATACCTGCCAACAATGTTCAAAAGTAAAATGTTTTTTTTTTTTTTTCGTATTGATGGTATAAAAGTTTTGCTTGAAGCATCTGTATAGATATTAATTAATTAGTTAATTTTTATACGATACAAAATGAAAAACTAACATAATAAATTAATATGAAATTTTACTACATTAACTTGAGATATCCCACTTGAGTGAAGATTTTCGACTTGCGCTAAATACGCACGAAATTTGTTAGAACATTTCATAATTATACCCTATCGAGATTGGATAAACACTTGTGTTCTTGAGGCCTCGTTTGGCAAGAGGCTATTTTAGCCAATTAGCCAAAAAGTTACTAAATTAGCCAAAAAGCCAACAACACATACCAAAAAGTCAAAGATTCTCTTTTCTCTCTACTTTTTGCACATCTTTTCGTAATTAGCCAAAAAGTCATCCCAAACATACAAGTTTTTTTTACCTACCTTTTTAGCCAAATAGCCAAAAAGTTACTAAATTAGTCTGTTCCCAAACGAGGCCTGATTGACCATTATGAAACAAACAATAATTTTCGTGAATTCTCTCCTAAAAGTGAGCATACGATTGCAAATTGCCAACAATTGGGTTTTAAAAAATGTGACACCAAGATTTACAAATTGTCACATCTTCACCAACGGTGAATGATTTTTCTCTCTTTATTTTTGATGAACCTTCCATAGTGATTGTATAAAAATATTAAAAAGAAAAATGTAATTTCAAAGATTTGCTGTGAAATAAAATTGAAATTGAGAATTTCTATTTATAGAAATACAAAATATGATCATTTACAAATAATAGCCGTTGAGACAAAAGAATAAAAATAAAAATACGTCTGCTAATTTATAGCTATTGTTCTGTATTTTTTTTGTATTTAAATTTCTTTATTTTATAGGAAAAAAGAACACGGTGGGTATGTTTGGTTTGAATTTGGGAAATGAATTTTAAAGATAAAAAGTACGAAAAGTTGTTTAGTTTGATTTTTTCAAAAGATGTTTTGAAAAATTATTTTGAGAGAGAGTTTTGAAAAAAGTGATTGATTTGATGTGTATGAGAGAGAGATTTGTTTGAAAAACTTGTAAACCAAACAAGTTTTGAAAAATATTTTTAAAAAAATTTGTTTAATTTAATTACTTTTGAAAACTTATTTATGGAGAATTTTTTTCAAAATTTTTGAGAAACAAGGGCGAGGACTCTTTTGTATTTCCTAAACACCATCGCAACCATCTACCTACCCACAATCCAACGGTTGAGATCAAGCCTCTAGAGTCAACCCCTTTATGCATCCGACAACATCTTTCTCTCTTGTATCCAAACCAGTCGAAATTGAGCCTCTCTCTCTCTCTCTCTCTCTCCGGTGTTCCATTTTCATCCATAGAAGAGGCAACTCGCAACTCCCTTTCTCTTCAGGGCCGAGACTAGATCGCTTACCAGGGTTGTTCAAGATCGACAAGCCGTGCTTCAAGACCTTGTTGGAGTGTTAAAGCTTGAGCTTTCGAATGAGACAAAGGTACTCCCAAGCCCCTCCTCCTCCATTATCCACCTGATTCTCCAACTTGTTCACTTGTGCTTCTTCCGTTTTGCTCACTATTTTTACCAATCCCTTCAAAGATATATCATCTCTCTCTCTCTCTCTCTGATTTCCACTACCACCACTAGCGCCGATCACCCATCACCGATCGTGAAGTTCGATGGATATAGACATCACTCCATCGGTCTTCATTCTCCAGATCTAAATTTGCAGAAGAGTTAAAGATTTGAAGCCCTATGAATCTGCAGAAGAGTTGAAGACTTGTAGCCCCATGAATCTGTAGGTTATCATCATTTGAGAGTGACCATTCCATTGGTAGTTGGGATTGATAAACTAAAGAACTGCTAGGGATTGAATCAGATGGTTGTAATGAATTGGGTCCAGTTTGAATGGGTTTCTGGTTTTATGCAATTTTACCAAAATAGTTAGGTTTTATATACTGCATGGGTTTGGTGGTTTGTGGGGGCCGGAAATAGCACTGGTCAGCAGGTCAACCGAATGAACCGGCTGATCAGGTCCGCTTTTCAGAACATTGATGTCAGTGTCTATCATAACTTCTCAAAGTGCTTCACATCTATCCCACTCACCAGCCACTGTCCACAAAGTCATATGTATTTTTTCCATTGAACATATAAAGCAACCTGGCATGCCCAATAGGCATCCACTGCAGCTTGTTGTCATGTTTGCCATTAGTTCGAAATTTGGAATCCACACTTAAACGCTGGCACGACAGTATGCATGGCTTGCATTTGATATGGTAATAAATACACGTCTTGCCTCTCCCTCTGTCGCGAAATACCATTCCTTTCATTCATTGTTGGAATAGAATTTACTTGCACCAATGGGATTCTGTGTAGAGTTTGTTTTTGATTATTTGCAATCTTATATAACGTTTGATGGCTTGAAGATTTAATTTTTAAAATTGTACTTGTTGATGCACTTATTGGTTGTGTACCTTAGGCATACTGCATCCCAAGATGTACGAGCACAGCTTTCTGTTAGCCAGGGTGATTCACATCCTACACGTTATGGTGAAGAAACCACCACTAAACAGGTGACATTTAGTGACACTATTAGCAGCACTGAAATGGATGAGCTTGATGCTGAGGGACAACAAAATGAGAGAGACCCTTCTAACTGGGGTTCCAAAAACTCTCCTTTTTCAACCTCGCTTGATGATCCCACCTCCTCATATTCTCCTTATTTAGCACCAGTTCTTGAAGGACCTTCTTCATCTTTCTCTGAAGGTGATAATATTTAGTTCTTTTTCAGCTTATTGTTGATTAGTTTGAAGCAGTGGGTATTGGTTGTCACACACTAAATTAACCGCAATATCCAGCTGGAGATGACGATCCACTACCTGCTATAGAGGGCCTTCAAATTTCAGGTGATGCTTGTCCTGGACATGATCTCCAAGCATGTGGATTCTCTATTAACGGAACAACCAGTTGTAATTTTGAGGTGCTTCTAATTTTCTTCTTTATTATTACTAATGATCTTACTTTTGGTTATTAATCTTACTTAGATGTGCCTCAAATTGCATACTACTATGCAATTTCTGTTAGAGTTTCAGTATAACTCAATGCTAATTTTCACTGTCTTCTGCAATTTCTGTTAGAGTTTCAGTATAACTCAATGCTAATTTTCACTGTCTTCTGCACCTGCAGTGGGTTCGCCATCTGGAAGATGGATCCTTTAACTATATAGAGGGTATTCTTCCTCAGTTTCATATCTTGTTTAAGTGGTTTCATTATTTGTGTTTTTAAATATTTAGATATGAAGTTTTTGTTGACAGGGGCAAAGCAACCTAACTACCTTGTTACTGCTGATGATGTTGATACATATCTTGCTATTGAAGTCCAGCCTCTGGATAACAGGAAACGCAAGGTATTCTCTGCTTTATTAAAGAAGTGGAATAGCCAATCCTTGGTAATGTATGGTAATAGGTACTAAGTATACGCTAGCATGCGGCATCTTATGTATGTGCACGTGTTCTGTGATGTGTGTTTTTTTTTCTTTCTGTTTTTTGCTTTTGGGGTTCCCAAAAGTTTAAGGTGTGCTCAAACACCAAATGCTGAATTGGCTATAGAATTAATATATATATTTTTTTCACCATGCATAGCTTGGAGTCTTTGGTAATGCTGGTTGATGCCTAATAAATGTATTTCTTTCTTCGTGTTCCCTTTTATCAGTCTTGTCAAACGGTGTGGCAGAAACAGAGTTGATCTATTTTCATCTACTAGTACCATATGCAACCAATGGTGATGTGCATATTTAATGTTAAAATACCTTAATCATGACCTCCCATTCTGTTAGCACTTCCTACCCTTCAGTTTCTTCACTATTTCATGCCCATGAATTGCCCCTGCTTTTCTTTCTGAAAAAGGTCAATAAAGGCAGATGTAACTTAAGCTATCATCTTGACGATGTGAAAATTTGTGACAAGCAGCATTGCAACAGTCCAGATTTGCTTTTGCTTTTTATTTTTTTCATGACTTTACATAAAATTCACTCACTCCTCACTGCCGACTCGCTTTCACTGAATCGATATTGAGCCTTCATTTGTGTAAATGCTTGGAAGAAGCGAATTAGTGAATGGAAAATTGATCTTATTATCTTACTTTCAAAGTTAAGGCTTCCCTCCTGTGGGTGGGCAAGGATCTGGTTTTACGCAGATTCATGTGACTTTAGGGAGTGACAGTTCAGAATGCTTCGTGTTCCTTTACAAAATAATAATTGTGATTCACTTCTTAAGCATACTTGCAAGTCATCATTATCTGTTTTGCAAAATAAGGAAGTAATTTTCTTAGTGTGGCCGGCGGCGTTGGACCAGATTTTGACGATTGATAATCTTATCTGCCACCGCCATATCTTGGTGAATTGGTGTTGTATGTGCCGGGGCAGTGTGGAATCAGTTTCTCACCTTCTCATTTATTGCTCTGTAGCTTATCAGCTGTGGGGGTTGATTTTTGCAGTCTTTGGCTTGGAGTGGGTGCAACCTAGGGACGTTGTGGGTGTCCTTTGGAGTTGGAGGGGGGCTAGGGTGGGGAAGCATCATTGGAAGGCCTGCGACCTTGCGCCCTTGTGTTTGATGTGGTCTATTTGGTTGGAACGCAATAGGCAGATTTTTCAGGGTTGGATGAGCCGGTGTCTTGTTCGAAACAAAGCTTGCTGGGCGTTTTGTATAGTATAGTGTCGGGGCAAGTGGAGTTGCATTTATGCTCTTTTTTTGGATTTTTTGGATTCTCTTCATGGTGGTGCTTGGCTGTTTATAGCTTTTATTTGTATTTGTTTTGCATCGGCTTGATGCTCTTTTAAATAATATTGCTTTATAAATTAAAACAAATAAAATAAGGAAGCCGTTCTTGTTCAGTATTTTCTTTTGTTCATTCTAATAATCTTTATGTATTAGTGATGGGAAAAGTTGAATTAGGGAACTTTATTTTCGGTTTACAACTATCAAATAGCACTTTTTACGTATATGTTTGCTTTATATTTTGCTCAATCTTTGTTTTATGAAGCAAAATCAGTGATAGTATTTGTGGATGGATTACAATTTATTTGCATATAAATGATAGTATTTTTATATATCAGATATCTCTGTGCATTACATGTGGAATGTGTGTTGAATGATTTGTTATGAAAGCAAGCATGGTTTATAACTAAAAAATTTGATACTGTCAAGCGCCATGTCTTCCACCTTTGCTAGCTGAAGTTTTGAGAAATACACTTTTTATTTTTATTTTTTATAATCTATGTCAAGAAAGCTCCTGAAGTTGTCATTTGTTTTGTTCTGTCCATGGCTTTAAATAGCAGTGTCGGGAGGTCACAATGTAATGGTATCAGGAATTTTGAGTGATACAAATCGGGTAGTTCATATGTGATTTTTTATCCCTACGGTAAAATGGGGTGTATCTGAACTGGAAGGTTTAAAATTCGATATGAACTTGCCAATTTTTTGAACCATGGCCTTGTCCCAAGTAGCATACATACCGACATCCGACATGACACGAACAAGATACGGACACATTGACATGGTGATTTTCAAAGAATGCAGATACAACACATTTGAGACATGTTAAATTTAATGTTTTTACAAATCTGTTATATATCATAAATGTACATAATTTATTCAAAGATAATAAAAAAATATGTAATATAACACAAGTTAGATTAAAAACTTAAATTTCATAATTTAAACATCAAGATATCATTCACATGAGAATTACATTCTAATTAATGGAAAACAATTATAGAACATTGTAATACACGTGTATTAATCTCATAAATGTTTAAAAACATATTTACAGTGCATAAGTTATGTTTTGAAGAATGCAGAACATTATTATTATGAAAGGATTCATAACATGGGACATGTTTGGAGGGTTCAAGTAGTGTCCGTGAAGTGGCCGATATTATGAATTGGACTTTTAATTATGACACATTGAAGAAGTGCCAGACACACTTTTAGGAGTCTAAAAAGATTTTCTGTGTCAGACACGACACACTACCACAGAAGGGTCAATTCTTCTTAGGTCCTATCAATATTCTCTTTTTCATATTCCCTTTGTCCCAAAATATTAGTCCGTTATTCTATTTTTCATTGTTCCAAAATATTTGTCCGTTTTTAAAAATCAAGGACTAAAATAACATGATTTTTCCTATTTTGCTCTTCTTTTAAATTCATTAACAATACAAAAAGTACAATTTTGACAATTGATATTCTCAAAAAAATGTACTACCAAAGGGTAGTTTTGGAAAGTTAATATTTTTGAAGTGTAATAATTGTACTATCAAAAAAAGTAAGAATCCCCAAAAGGGACTAATATTTTGGGATGGAGGGATTATAACTTTTCACATGGATGAAACACATACATAATAATAGTTGTTTTGTCTCTAGATCTTGGGGAGCTGTGGTCTTTAAAACTTTACGCCTGTGTTGAAATGGTAAAATGAAAAAAGATGTCTACAACTTTCTCCAAATGGATTTTTATTGGAAATAGTTGCTAGATATTGACAGTATATGTATATATATATATATTCCTTCAGAAAGAAATATGGGATTTTCGGAAGGACAAGAAATTTGTGAGACGAATATGGGATTCTAGGTGATACCTATGGTCATGTCGCATTAGTGACATTTATATCTATTCCTTGTTGGTTTCTATTTGAAATTTGTTCAGATTTGTGCTTAGTGTTTAATCTTTATACAGTCGGTCCCAAACCCGGATAAAGGAGTGTGGTGCGCTAGGTAGCCTGACGACCAACATGTAAAAATCCCCGTCAGTTCCCTTATGAACATGAATCCTAATATGAATAGTTGTGGTTTAATTTGGATTAGAAGTACTACACTCCAACACAGAGCTGGAGTGGGTGGTTGGATGTCTTTGAAGGTTAATGCCTCGTATGGAATTATTGTGAGGAAGATTATTCATATGGTGCATAATAAGTTTTTTAAACACATTCACTTTGATGTAGGAGATAGGGACATAGTGAGATGCTAGCATAATAAATGCTTTTGAAATGTCCTGCTTGCTTGAGCTTGCCTTCTAGAAGGAAGCATTAGTTGTTAATTATCACTGATCTTTCAATGGTGTTGAATCAAACATGACCTTGAGGTTATCAGTATGTTTTGGGAGGTGGAGGCAATCTTCAAGCTTTTGGTCCTTTTATATTTGGTGCCACGTGAGAGAATAGGGAAAATTTGGTGAGACGGAAAGGGACTATCAAGTGGGTTACTACAAGTCAATGTTTTTAAAACCGAACCGGACTGGCTAGTTTGGGTAGTTGACCCATCAACCGGTCTGGATGCACCCTCAAATTCATTTTAATTTGAAATCCGACCTTTTTTTTTAAAATTTAATTTGTGATACACATGGTTGAACCGGCCAACTGGATGAATCGACCTTGGTTAAAGAGTACCGGCTAGACTTCACTGACACCAACATGCCTTTTTTAGGTGTTGAAAAACTCAGCCTGATGGGTTCAAGCATAGCAACTCAAGCATGAGCGTGTTGCTCCCTTACACTAAACCATCACCATTTCTTGTTAACATATAGTAGATATATATTATTTATTGCATTCAAAGCATTTTCTCTCAATCACCATTATAATTAACATTTTTACAAACAATATTTATAAAAATATTTTAAATGAATGTATATTAATACATTTTATTTATTTAATTATAATTTTTAATATATTTATTAGGTAATTATGTTGTTATGGGTCGATTTTGGTTGTCCTGGCGGTTGAACCAGTGACCCTTGACCCGGTCACTTTTTTGGTTTGACCAATGGTCCGGGTTTCAGAACATTGCTGCAACTTGCAAGTCCTTAATGCTATTGGTGGGCTCTCTATCGTCTTGGTTCCCTTAGAAAGAAACATGTGATGTGCGGTCTCCTTCCAAGCTGCTTAAGTGTGATTCTTATTCTTTGAAATTGAAGGCTTGCATGTGCTTCCTAATTGGTATTGTATGTGGATGGAGATAGGGGAGCTTTGGGACAACTTGTCATTAACTGTTGGGTGGCTAAAGAATTGTGGCATCCTTTTTTGTTTTTGTTTTTGTTTTTGTTTCCTACAGGGTATCCTTGTCGGTATGACTAATTCCATAATCAGTTTTGTGTCCTTCCTATTTATTTGTTAATTTCCTACCATAATCCACGTTTTCCAACTTCACTTGCTTGATATAATGATTTAGTTTTTATGTTAATTGTGCAGACTGGATATCTTGATATATGGGAACCAGCTACCCTGGCAATCAAGAGGGAAGGTTACAGTATCAAAGGTAGTGGACCTAGTGGTGTTGTAGTCACCGAGAAGTTTTCGCCAACCACAAGTGTATGATTCCTTCTTTGCTTTATCTTTTATTTGTTTAATGCTTTTTTATTAAGTCCAGCATGTCTTTAGTGGTTACGGTATTGATATTTTCTAATAATTTTATGTTGTAGTAGTAGGAAAAATCTATTAGCATCTTCCAATTGATATATCTTCCAATTGATGAGTCATTTTTTCAGAACTTGTGAGAAACTTTTTAAGCTTAGTTGATGCATGACATAACATAACTGAAATTGATGAATTATTCCTGTAGAATTCTAGGTGAGATTCCTGGTTTGATTATTCTCCTTATGCTCTCTTGCACCATGAACAAGGAAAAAAAAATTGAAATCGATTCACTTGTTCTTGTTCACCACCCCTATTCTGTTAATAGAACTCTAGCTTATCAAGCCGTAATAAACCTGCTCTTTTCCCTTACCTCAGAAGCCTCGCTCCAAGTCTTCAACTTGGAAACGTTCATGCAATCAGTTTGGGGTTGTATCAGAACACATTAGGGAGAACAGTGGCTGAACAAAAGTACTGCATTGGACCTTTTTTTCTCTCTCTCTTTGGTCTAAAAGGGGGAAGCCCTGAAACTATTATCTGACAGTCCGAGAGAGTGCAAACCCTCTCAAAGTTGTCCCCAGAAGCAGTTTGACAAAATCTAATATGAAGGATATGGAAGCCAAGAGGGAGGCTGAAACTTTCTTTAGATAGTTGGTCTGTGCATGAGTTACCCGCTCTCCTTTTGTGGCTCACTCTACAATCCCATTTTCATGGGAGGACTTAATTTGGAGAAGCAGATTGAACTGCGGGGTTCATTTGATAAGCACGGTTGATCAGGCTTTATGCAACCTGTTAATCTATTTCCAATAGTGCACATACGTGGCTGCCCTCCCAAGTAAGGTGTAGGCCTATATGGCCCAAAATTCAGCTTTTATGTTTATCAATGTTAGCAGTGAAGTCTATGAGCCATTCACCTGTATAATCCTAAGAAGAATGAACATAGACACGTGACATGACACATCAATTTTTTAACATATGCAAGATCCACCTTCATGCATGTTAGACGCCCTTAATATAGAGATTTTGGTTCTCCTTCTCCACCTTCATGCATGTTAGATTGTGTTACAGGGTCAATTTTTGTTTCAAATTCCCAACCTATAATGGCACTAAGTTGGACACTTAGTCTCAGCCAATTATGAATACACACACACACAATGTTATAACAAGTAAGAGAATAGGCAACAAGTGATTACAGGAAAAACTCCCAACCTTTATTAATTGCACCAACAATGCAAAGGATGCCTCTGGAAACTTTTACCAACACTTAGTTAATTTTCGAGTTCCATGGCTATGCCTAAATAGGCTTACAATCAATTACAAACTTTACAACCAGCATTACAAGGAAAGCATGTCAAGTGGCATGGCAGTTGACACCCCCAACTGCCTAGGGACTTAGGATCATTTCTGGGACATAACTGCTGCTAATTCCCTGCCTTGATTCCAGATGTCCAGACTTGCCTTGTTTTTGTTCAACATGGGTAACTGCTGCCAGACAAGCATAACTGCTTTGAACTGCCCATGTTGTTTGCCTTCTCAATCATCCACGAATTTGGTTGTCTTGGCCCCCAGACCAAGTTTTGCCTACTGAATGCTTTGAACCCCCAAGTGTGCTGCAGCCCACATTCGGGTCATGTTAATGCCTTGCATTTGTGCCACTGCTGCCCATACTTTGGCCAAGGGTCCTGTGTTGCTGTCTCAGCACTTTGTCAATGTTTCACCTTGCTATTTTGGCATGCCACCATCATGCCGTGGTCTTGGTTGGACATTGGTGCAAGGTGCTGCCAATGCCAACCATGCAGCCTTCAAGTAGAAGGTGCTAACAGACTGCCTCTACTCTCATTGAGGCTATTTGTGGTGGCCTAGCCTATGAAGCACGGACACGGATACGAACACGGATGCGGGACACGACATTTTTAAAAAAATAGGGACACGGGCACGGCTGGGAAAACGGCAAATTTTTTTTATATAAATATTTTTATTTTAATACAAGTTAATTATTTTATTTAATTATTATATTTTTAAATAAATATGATTCTATTAATTTATTTTATTTTATTTTATCTACTATTTTTTTTGATTAATATATATAAGATATAAGATATGCCTTTTTATTAATATTAAATAAATACATATATATATTATATATATTATACCTAATATATTTTTTTATTAATATTAAATAAATACACACACATATATATATATATATATATTATACCAAATAAATGCATTAATATTAAACCTAATAAATATGTATATATATATTATATGAATTAGATCAGATCTGAGCAGAGAGACGCGAGAGCGATCGATGCGAGAATGAGAGAGAGAGAGAGTGAGAGGGAAGGCGAGAGACAGGGACAAGAGAGAAAGAGACTTACGGATGGAGGTCGACAGGCGAGGCAAGTCGAGGTCGAGGTCGAGGTCATGGATGGAGGTCGATTGGATCGAAGACCAGGTTTGTATCTTGACCTTTACTCTTCTCCTTTACTTTTCTCTTTTGCTCTTTGCTCTTCATGTCCAGATTTGGTGGACACGCGTGTCCCTGCCGTGTCTCCGCCGTGTCCCTGCAAAAAAAATAATTAAATTAAAGGGACACGCCATCCGACGTGTCCTGTACATGTCCCCGGCGTGTCCCGGTGTCAGATACTGCCACGGCATGAAATCTGGCGTGTCCATGCTTCATAGGGCCTAGCGCCATCTTAGCAACTACCATTCGTTCTAGAATGCCCCCTCTACTAGCCTAATCAGCCTCCATCGCCCACTCTTTTTTTTCTTCTATTCAAGTGCCGACAATCATTTAGACTTTGATGTTGCTAGTTTGTAATGCATTTGATATTGAATGAATGAAATTAGGAAATGCATGGATTATAATAAAGTAGAGCCACGTTGAGATTCCCTATGAAATAAGGCATGGAGGGGTGTACCCTGAAGAATAAATAATTGTTTCAATGGAACCTATGCTATGTACACATTTACATTTGTAGGTTATATGTATATAACTCAATATGTTCTATTGCTCTTCTACCTTTCATTGGCCCCGTTTGGTAGAGCTGTGGAAAAGTGATTATAGATTATAGTTTAATAGATTATAGTTTATAACTGTGAACATAAGCTGTTAATGTATTTGGTACAGCTGTGGGATTATGAATTTAAGCAGCAGAGTAGTGTTTGGTTGATAAGCTGTAAAATAGCTTTTTTTGTATAATTGACCATTTTGCCCTTACATGCCCTTATATGATATAAAAATGATAATTGTCATTTTTTTTCAATTTTAATTTAAAAAAATTATTTCATTAATAAAAGTTAATATAATTAGTATTAATTAGTATCAATTAATACTAAAATTATTAATTAGTATCAATTAATGGCTTAATTAGTCTGAATTAATAGTAAAATTATTTAGTATCAATTAATATTAATAATTAATTTTTAATAGTGTCAAATAATATTAATAATCAACAATTGTTATTAACTAGTATCAATTAATAATTAATTCATTACAAAAATATGCAATATTAAATTTTTTTAATTGTGATTTTGTTTTTATTAAATTTTTTTCATTACAATTAATAATATAACAATTGTTATTTTTTTTTAATTTATTATTCTTTTTCATTACAATTAAATTGTAAAATAAATTGTGTAATTTATTTAATGGATATAAATTGCACAATTTATTTCAATATTAATTGAAATATTTTTTTATTGATATTTCATTTTTTCATTTGACAAATCCTTTCATTTTTTTTTTCAATTTTTATCATTTTTTTTAGTGATATTTCATTTTTTCAAAAAAAAATTCATTACAAAACCCTAGCTTTATGCCGCTGACCCCCCGTCGTCTCCTCCATCCGTACGTCGCTGGCCCCCCTTCTCCTCCGTTTCAGACCGGCGACTAGCTGGTGCTGTAAAACCCTAGCTTTGCAAAACCATTATATCCTTCTCCTCTTCATCCCGATCGCGAAGCTCTCGTTTGCGAAACCCTAGCCGCCGGTCTGAAGCAGCATTCATGTGACGGCGTTGATGCGAGAGCCATCGATGCAGGTGCGTGAGGCGGCGGAGAGAGAGCGAACAGTGTTGATTTCTAGTTTCAGATCACGATGGAAAGAGAGGGAGAGGGGAGAGAGAGAGAAGGAGAGCTCTTGTCGGAAATCGTGTGTGTGTGTGTGTGTGTGCGCGCGCGTGCGTGTGTGAGAGAGAGAGAGAGAGAGAGCTCTTGTCGGGAATCGGCCTCGCCGAAAATCGCCCTTGCCGAAAATCGCCCTTGCCGGAAATCGCCTGTGTCTTTCTCTCACAAGTGAACAGTGCTTAGACAAAGGCTTATATAGTGGGTTTTTTTGGTAATAGTTGAAATATCTGAGCGGCATTTAAGTCATTACACGCCTCAAGGATTGGCTGTGCACATAATCAGGTTGGAAAAGTACCTCCCAGGCAACTTATCAGATTGTGGGTGAAATGGCTTAAGTTAAACTATAATTCATCTCTCATAATTTTTACCAAACACTCCAATATGACTTATTTTAAGCTATAAGTTGATTTAAGCTGCAAATAAGTTTTACCAAACACCCACATTAACCTTCACCAAATAAAATGGAGGAATATCATATTCACAATGATTGGCTGGTTGGATTTTCTATTAATTGATAAATTATGAGCATCCAACACTTGGATTCTAATGATTGCAAATACTGAATTTTGGGTGAGAGTACTGTGAGGTTCATGAGGTAACCTAATATAATGAGTACTAACAAGTTTCTTTTATTCAAATGATGCCAATCATCTAGACTTTAATGGTGCTCTAAGAAGCAAGAACACATACACTAGTATGGACAACGGGCATGACAATTTTCAAAAGAATTTAGATATGGACATAAAGGGATACGACAAAAAAATAAAAATAAAATTATATATATATATATATATTCATTTATAAATTTTTATCCACAAACATCCTAATATAATAAAAAATCGAAATCAAATCCAACATGAAAAAGCAATTCAATCTATCATTTGAACAACTTTAACATCTAAAATATTTTTTCATCAATCATACATCATTACATCACAAATCTCAAAATTTAAGTTCAATTATGAATAGATCATTCATAAAAAATACATATATCCTAAATATTTTTTTTAAAGAATTAATAATATGGTGTTAAATTTACCAAAAGTTTTCATAAAAAAATCCACAAAACCAATGCAAGTGGAAATAGAACAGATAGTAGAACACTAGAAAGATGAGAGGAATAAATGATTTTTTCAAGGTTATATGATCTTTGCTTGTGTCAAATGAATTCAAGTGCACAAATTTGAGACATTGAAGATCGAACATATTAGGTATTTTGTGTGTGTTTTCTTTTTAATTTTTCCCTGTTTGTTTCCAAAAGTTATACTTTGACCATCAAATCTTTCAAAAATTATAATAAAACCCCAAATGTATTCTATTCCATATTGGACACGATACATGTGTTTCCTTGATGTGTAACCCAACCAATGGTGGCTCCAAAAGTATTGTTTAGGTAGTCATTAAAAAATTTGATTAAAATTTATGCAAAAAGTATCATACTTGTCAATATGTATCATCTACTTTTAATAAATTTCTTAATTTAAACTTTTTTAAATTACAAGCAAAGAAGAATTTTAATATTTTGATACTATCATTTCAACAGGAAAAGAGAAGAAGAAAGACACAGTTCTACAATTGCTCTTGACAAGTCATACAACTCATACCTAATCATGATGGAGATTGAAATATATATAAATGTACATTTTAATTGTGTCTTTATTTTTTTTGGATTGGCACCGATTGTCCGGATCAAAGTCCGACTAATCCCCAATGGTGCACATGCCCTCGGCAATGAGTTCCCGGAAGTGCATTGCGGTTAATTCAAGAGTTTTCCCTCTGTCCGATGGCCCCAAGGAATTGTTAGCACCTAAGAGGTTTCGATCCTTGAACCTTGTTTGCACACTCCTAAGACCAAAGGCCTTGCCATTAGGCTAACCCCTTGGGGTTTTAACTATGTCTTAATTCAACATAACTTACATTTACTGAGAGATTTGGAATATATTTTTTTTAAAATTTAAAAATAGTTTTTTTAGTAGTCAAAAAATAAATTGTATGGACTACATGCATTTTAGTATGGCTTACACCACATCAACTTTAGATATATACCGTATACTTCATTTTATGGATGCTTTTTTTTGGGGTATTTAGAGTTTCTCAAGTGGGTGTTACATTTAGAATTAAAGATATTGTGAATGGATTGTAGGATGAGCGTGCCAAATTTGGAGTTGATGAGTTGGGTGTTTAAGTTTTGTGAGATGAGTATTCAAAAACTATAAATTTGGGTATTCAAATTATAAGGAGGGGATTAATTAACATGTGTATATATATATAAATTACTTATATATATGGGCAAATTTCACTTTAATTACTTGTGGTTTGACCCATGTGCAAATTTCACCACAACTTGAAGTGGCAAATTTCACTTCACTTCTTTGTGGTTTGGATTATAATGTGTTCACATTTTTTTTGTGCACAAGATCATGGTTTTATCAAATTTATACTCACAATATAGTGCCTTAAAAAAGTGTTTTAAGTTTTTTATTTTATTTTTTGATTTATTTCTCATTTATTTTTTTATTTTGTTTTTGTAGGTCACTATTCCTTTTGCACATCCTACAGAATTTTGTATAATTAGTTCTGGGGTTGAGCATATTTTACGGGCAGAAAACAGCTCAACAATGACGCATTCAGTTCAACAGAATTTTCTACAAAGCTGGTAAGTTTCCTAATGCTTAAAACATGATGCATTCAGCGAAGACTCCCATACCGTACTTGTGAAGAAAAAAAAAAATTAGGGAAGACTCCCAATTAAATTATTGCATAAAAGGATACTGATGTGTGAGAGTTCCTTTTATCATACTTGTGAAATGGGAAGTGAGTCACCTACTTCTTGTAGTTTTAGATAATTGCTTAGTTCTTACTTCATCCTTAAAAGATGTTCCGATTTTTTTTTTTTTTTTGGCCACTGTGAACATTTTTACCTTATAGCTTAGTTTGAATTGTGTAGACTTCTTGAGGAACAAAACCCCATTGAGTGTGCAGAAAATCAGAACTTCAAAGGGGAAACAAAGAAAAATGGAAAAATGTAAAGAAAATGAAAGGAGTTGATGTTGTTAGAATTAGTGGTGTAGTTCTGATTTTAGCCTCATAAAAGTTAGTTGGGTCTCTTGGCCTATAAACGGTTAGTTAGTATCTTGGAAATGGAGTTTTATCATATTTTGCCATTGTATGGTTGAGCTTAGAGCTCTTGTATCTCAGTTTAGAGATTTTCTCTCTCTAAGAAATTTCATTCCTAAATGGTTGCATCAGGAATGTTATCTCTACTTAATGTTGCTAGATTGGGCAATGATTTTGGGGTTGAGTGCATATTTTAAGAACCTTGTTAATGATAAACGTGCTTACTTGATGAATGCAGCAGAAATTATAAGAAATTTGGGAAGTTGGCCAAACAAAAATATATGTAATGTGAGAGAGATTTGCTGCACCTATTCATGTAAAAAATTGGTTTAATATCAAATGTGTTATAAGTGTGAGGACAAGCATCCATATTAATACTGCTACTGCAGCTTTGAAAACTTGCAAATCTCATAAACATAATTACAAAACGTACTTCTGGATCTTTGTGAATGCCTTGTGTTCCTGAAGTTGGGTGATCATAGTAGGAAAGTTTTTGGTTGAGTTATCGGTCAACACTAGGGGCTATTGTTGGTTTTATGGTCAAAGTTTGACTGCCAGTTTAATAAATTTACTTATCAAAAGAAAAAAAAAAATTGGACCACTAAGTTCAAATCTTAGGTGGTCACTTTGCACTATTCATGCGAAAGGGTAAAAGTTTGTACTTATGTTACCTGGAATGCAGATCATTCTAGTATGTTGAACGGGAACGGGAATGTGGTACAACACATGCTCTAAAATGTGGTATGATAGGGGTATTCGAGAATAATTTTCTTTTAACAATTAGGCATCCAATAAAATATAGTTGTATTTTTACTGTTTTTTCAAATTAATCATGTAGAAACCTATGAAGCACAGATATTTCGAAAATGTTGCCATACTTGTATCGGGTACTGGTACCATTAGGGTTGCATGCGTACTGGGTACTCAAAATACGTATCGGGTACTTTTTATTCATTCTTTGACAGTTGGGTACTCCATGAGTACTTTATGGGTATGAGATTGGTACATTGAGAGTACACCAAGTTCATAAGTGGAAATATGTTTAATTTATTAGAGACTTGATTTACTTGAAATTGCAAATCTTTTATTTGATGTGCTAGAGATGAAAGATGTATTATTCAATGATGAAGTTCATAGAAGTGAAAACTGAAGTTTAAAGTTTTCAAATTTCTCTTAGTTTGCTTTTGGAATGAAACTTTATTTTGTAATTTCTCCTATTTAATGGCATTAAAATAGCTTATAGACTTTGCTTTGGTATTGGTATTGTTGAATTATGATTTCTCTTTTGGTTTTGTAATTTCGCCTTTTAGTTTTAATATTGAACTTTGATTTGTAGATTGAATCTCGAACTATAAATTACAAAAAATAAAAAATAAAAAATTTATTGATGTACCCCAGCTGTACCCGTAACTTATGTTTTTTAGGTCTTGCCGTATCGGCGCATCCGTATCGTACCCATACCAATATCCGTACCCACACCCGTGCTTCATAGGTAGAAACGCATTTCCATATGAGCATTATGATCTATGTTTTACATTTGATTATGTCAAAACTTTTACTCATCTTAGATTTTAGTTCACTATAATTGATTTTTTTTCTTTTTCTTTTTGAGGAAATATCTAGGAATTTTTTTTTTGGAATCGCTTCAAATCACCAAATTTACCATTTTGGAACGAAAGAGTACAATACCCTGCTAGCATCCTCAGTTATTGGGAGCCAGTTAGGGGAAATAGCCTTTTCTAGGGAAAGTCAAAACTGATTAAAATTGCACAAGTATCTTCTATATTATTTTTGATGGCTTTGTAATGATTTTATCCAATGAATTCCTTGAAGCCATCCTGTGTTTTATTTGATTTTGGTTGTGCATAGTTGTGTAATATTTGAGCTTTTCCTCCATTTTGCAGTTCAAGAGATACAATTGTTCTCACCTTGAGATTTTTCATCAAAAGGGTATGACCTTTTACTCTCAAGTCATAATTTTCTCATTATGAATGATGTGAAACACTCTGTAAGTTCTTTTTTGAAAAAAAATTATTTCATTAAATCCTCATACAAATAATATGTTATCTTTTAAATTGCCTTTTGTCCACGTGATCAAACATGGAAAACTTGAAACTTCTATTTAAATATTTTGACATGTAATGCTGATTTTTTGTGCGTGCATTAAACGTGTTCTATTATTGTTTCGACTCTAGAACAAGCAAATTTGTTCTATGATTTATTTAAATGTGTTGTATTAGAAACGTTCTGGAGTATTATCTTGCCACTGTCAAGATAAATATCTTGCTACAAATTCTCTCCTCCACCCTGTAAACTACCCTCTCACACCACCTAGTAAGTGTTGACATATGAATGCTATAGAAAATTTATAATTTATTAAGGCCCCTTGTGGTTGATTTCATGTAGGTTTAGGTTTATGAAAGCTTCTAGTTTAGGGTCCCAAAAGTTAAGAAGAAACAATCTAAGGCTTGTAAAAAAAAAAGAAAGGTGGGAGATTTGGCTTTGTTTACGAAAAGGTGGTCGTGGCTAATTTACAAAGAGCTAGCTATAGCTAGAAAGCTTGTAAATAAAGCCAAATCTCCTGCCTTTTTTAATTTTTAATTTATAATTTATATTAAGGCCCCTTGCGGTTGATTTCATGTAGATTTAGGTTTACGAAAGCTTCTAGTTTAGGGTTCCAAAAGTTAAGATGAAAGATTCGAAGGCTTGTTAAAAACAATAAAGGTGAGAAATTTGACTTTTACGAAAAAGTGGACGTGGCTAATTTACAAACAATGGTGGCTAGCTATAGCTAGAAATCTTGGGACAATATATCCTTTTTCGGATATTTTAGTGCTAATTCAAATGTCAATAGATATATGAGGATGCATTATTTAGGAATCAATATACTAAGGTTTTGGAGCTGAAAGGACTGTCAAACAAAGCTTCAAAAAATGTCACTAATTCTTGAGATCCAGCTCTTTTAATTGAATTTGTACCATTACATATATTTTTATAGGCTTTTACTTCTGTCTGTACAAGGGCTAAGACTCCAAAGTAGGGAACTAGGAAACTTTGACCAACTATAATATTCGGGACCTAATAAATACTATAAAAATACAGAAATATAAGTTAACTCGTGTTTCAATCCATGGATAGAAACAAGGAATCCTTTATGAGTGGGTGGTCATGCCTTTTGGCTTGTCTAGTGTGCAGAATACCTTCATGTGACTGATGAACCAAGGTCTGACTCCATTTTTCAATAAGTTTGTGGCTGATGTACTTCGATGATATTCTAATCTATAGTCACTGTAGAATTGCATGTGCAACATTGTTAGGAGGTTCTTACATTTTTACAGAAAGAGAAGCTATTTGGGGCGATCAAAAAGTGTGCATGACAAATAGGGTGATTTCCTTGGATATGTACTTTCCAAGGATCAGATTTCTATGTCAAGGCAATCAAACAGTGGCCTCAACCAGGGAACTTGTTTGAGGTGCACATCTTCCATAAGTTAGCAACTTTCTGTTAGTGGTTTTTATGTTGAAATATATATTTTTCATTGTTTATCTTTGTGTTTTCACACGGTCTACATTAGTTCTGATCCCTTCAACCTTACTACAAGGGAGGTTGGTGTAATTATGCCAAAACCATGAGGCTTCTTGTGTTTTCTCCAAACCTCAGTAGTGTAATTTACCCTTTATTTATTCAGTGTTTTGTGGAAACAAACTATGTTTTCTTATTCCTGGTTGCTTTAGGAGTTCTATTGATAAATAAGTTAAAACTTGGGGCTATTTGTTTTTGTGTTATTAAGAAAATTTATGAGATAGAGTTTACTTAATTTGTTCATAATATTCTAGTAATATTAGGATTCAATAGAATTGTAGAAGAGTTGGGTGATCTTGTTGTGCAGATTATGCTTCCTACACACTTCCTTTGCATCAATGTGATTCTTGGGATGTTTTCTGCAGTTTTGTATATGGTCATTTCCACTTCACTTAATGTAGCTTACTGTGCATTATCATTGCATGCTCTTGACTTACCATTTGTGGATGAAATAATTTGTTATTCCTCATCATACTTGGAAGATTTTTTTTTCCCTCAATCGTGTCACAATGCATAATTGGCTTTCATTTTTCAGTATTTATGCAGAATGCGGAATATTAAAATTACTCACTGTACCATTTTCTAACAGCCAGTTCTACCTGTTGCACTGGTTGAATTCATTTGTTTAGAATAGTGTTCCATTAGATTAACACTGGCCATCTTGTTGCATTGAATTAAGCAATGTGGTGTTGCATTTTGGCAACAAATTCGCATGTTGTGTTGTGGTTGAATTCATGTCTTTCATTGGATTGGCATTCACATCTTGTAACATAGAATTAACCAATGTGGGATTGCCAATTTGAAAGTTTTTTTTACAAAGGTGTCCCTTCACTCATCTTGCAGGCTGGTGAGAAAAGGAAAGGAAAGAAAAGGGGTTTGTTCTTTAAAGCGAAGGAACTATTATTTTTCCGGCTTAGCAATATAGGTATTTGTTGTAAAGGGTGGTGTAATTATTGATCAAGCCATCACCTGCGTTGTTGGAGATTTCTCTTGTATCTTGTGTATGATGTTTACACCTTACTACCGGCTCAAATCAGCCCGAGTTTGATCATGCTCCCAATGCTCCCCCTCTCTCTCTCTCGTGCCTGTGCACGTCTTGCAATGTTTCCATTCAGAAATGTGTATAAAGGAGAAAACCAAAGATTTATATAGCAGCGCCGTAGCAAACTGTATTTTGTGTTCTTTGGTTGAAAAGAAGGATTAGATTGGAGATGATGAGTGAGGGAGGACACCGTACCAGAATACTAGAGAAGCTGGGCGAGGCTTTGATTTTTCTTTGCCTTTTTTTTTCGATTTTTGTTCTCATATATATATATATATATATATAGATTTGTTTTCCCTTCTTAGTGCATTTTGATGTTCCACTTTATAAGGCTATAAAGCATGATGGCAATAGTGTGCGACTCTCATCTGTCAACTGATGCATTTCTAAAGCTAGTAATGTTACGATAATTAAGGGGTAGTTTGACATAAATTAAATAATACAAAAAGTAAAAAAATCACTATCTTATTTAAGTCACATCATCTTATTTAAATCATATCATCTCTCTAACACATCAAACTAAACTTAATTTCAACCCATATAAGCCATTAAGGCCAAGTTTGGCATCATAAAAAAAAGTCAAAAAGTTATTATTTTATTTAAGTCGCATCATCTTATTTAAGTCACATTATTTTTTTATCACATCATTTCAAACAAAATTCATACCCAACTCATATATCATAAAAAAGTCAAAAAGTGTACTTATTTAGGACACTTCAAACAATTCCTAAGTCAAACAGTGTATTTTTTTAGAACATTCCAAACCAATTCTAAATTTGAGTACCAAAATTTTGAATACTAGTTGATGTGTCTCAAGTACATTGATATGAGACATGAAAATTACATGAGACCTGAACTGTTGAGCCTACTAAACCAATGCGCAGGTTAAGCATTAATTGAATCTCAAAATCAAATTTGAGTACTCAAATTCTGTCATAGCATTACTTGAAATATGATTAAATTGCATTTAATTCATATTACTTCAGAACTTAAACACTTGTGGTGCTCCTTTTTATTGGAAATGACTTAAAATTGCATTTCAGGTCACTTTGGTGGTCTTGTATTTTAATTTTTCCAAATTCATCTCTAAAATATTCAATTAGGGTTTGGATAATCTAATTTTTAATGGCTTGTTTAGATCATTAATTGAATGATGATAAAATATGATTTTTTTGGGTGATAATCATCTTATAATATAACTTTCATGCAAAAAAGGACTTCTCCGTAAGTTTTGTTACAAATAAGTCTGTTGTGCTTCGATTTATTCTAGTAGCTTTTTCAGAAAGCAAGTACTTCATGAAAACGGATTTAGAGCATATCTAATGACAAATGTTATAATAGTATAGTCATTGTTATCATTTGGTAATGAATAGTAATAAATTGTAAAATTATAATAATGGTGCTTTAATGGTCATATGTTATTTTGGTAAATTTTAACCAATTTTCTCTCTAATTTTGTAGGTGGTGTTTGGATGTAGGTTTTTTAGTGAATTTTTTTTTTTATTGTTTATTCTGTCTTTTGTGACTTTTTTTTTAACTTAAAAAAAAATTTAAATATTTACATTGTACCCTACTAGAAAAATATAAAAAAATTTAAAAAATTAATTTTTTTTTATTATATATAATTTACCTCACCAAAAAAACATGCTACTGCAAATTTTTTTAAAAAAAATTTATTAGCTACATCAAAATTACATGGACTACTATATTACATTGCAAAATAAAAATTATATTTAAAAAGAAATAATAAAAATTACATTGACAAATAAATGACATTGCAAAATTAAAAAATATATTCTCTTGTAATTATTCATCAGGAGATAGGGAAAAATAGTAATTTGGGTTGTTGACATGTGCGAACCACATGGCGAAATTCTCATTTTTGCGTATTATGTAATACATTTTCGTCTAAGGGTTCAAATGAGAAATGTCCGTAGTTATTATCAAATGTTCTTCATTTTTTATCTCAAGTTCTTTCATCTTCTGTAATGTTTTAGCCATTTTTTCTTCTATTTCAGTTTTTTTTCATTTCCTTCTCAGCAAGGTATTGGTTAAATATCTCCGATAAATTGTTAAATTTGTGGACTTCAGTTTCAACTGCTTGACTTTTTTGAAGTAATTCTTTTACAAAATTCCTACCCGTAGGCATTTTACCCTTTGCAGAGACACTACTCTCACAAATTGGATTATTACCAACAGTTGGATTGTTACCAACACTTGGACTGTTGTTGTCTTCAAGAGAAATGCAGTTATCTATAGGGGAATCAGGGATTGAATTGGTAAATGGTGTATGTATCCTTGATTTGACTGTGTTTGTAGGAGCTACATCTTACCACTTGATATTGTTTTGCAATATTTGCCAACCATGTTCAAAAACAAAATGTTTGTTTTGTTTTGTTTGCTTGTTTTTTTTTTTTTTTTCATCTTGATGGTATAAAAGTTTTGCTTGTAGCATCTATATAGATATTAATTAATTAGTTAATTTTTATACGATACAAAATGAAAAATTAACATAAAAAATTAATATGAAATTTTACTATATTAACTTGAGATATCCCACTTGGGTGAAGATTTTTGACTTGCGTAAGTACGCACGAAATTCGTTGGAATATTTCATGATTATATTCCATCGAGATTGGATAGATACTTGTGTTCTTGACTGATCATTCTGAAACAATCAATAATTTTCGTAAATTCTCCCATAAAAGTGAGCATATGATTGCGAATTGCCAATAATTGGGTCTTTAGAAATGTAACACCAAGATTTACAAATTGCCACATCTTCATCAATGGTGAATGATTTTCCTCTCTTTATTTTTGATGAACCTTCCATAGTGATTGTACAAAAATACTAAAAAGAAAAATACAATTTTAGAGGTTTGTTGTGAAATGAAATGGAGATAAAGAGAAGAGAAAAGAAAATGTAATTTGAAATGTTTGATGTGAAATGAAATTGAGATTGAGGGTTTCTATTTATAGAAATACAAAATATGACCGTTGACAAATAATAGCCGTTGAGACCAAAAAAAAAAATACGACTGTTAATTTATAGCTGTTGTTTTGTACTTTTTTTTTTAAAAAAAAATTTATAGGAAAAAAGAGCACAATGACTCTTTTGCATTTCCAAGATACCATCGCCACCGTCCGCCTACCCACAATCCAACGGTTGAGATCAAACATCTAGAAGCATCCCCTTTATGCATTCCAAGACAACATCTTTCTCTCTTGCATCCAAACCAGTCAGAAGTGAGCTTCTCTCCCATCTCTCTCTCTCTCTCTCTAGTGTTCCATCTTCATCCACAGTAGAGGCAACTCGCAACCCCCTTTCTCTTCAGGGCCAAGACTAGGTCGCTTCCTAGGGTTCTTCAAGATCGACAAGCCGTGCTTCAAGACCTTGTTGGAGTGTCGAAGCTTGAGCTTTCGAACGAGGCAAAGGTACTCCCAAGCCCCTCCTCCTCTATTGTCCACCTGATTCTCCAACCTGTTCAATTGTGCTTCCTCTGTTTTGCTCACTATCTTCACCAATCCCTTCAAGGATATATCATCTCTCTCTCTCTCTCTCTCTCTCTCTCTCTTTCTCACTGATTTCCATTACCACCATAAGCGTCGATCACCCATCACCAATCGTGAAGTTCGATGGAACACTAGTGTTTGGAACATCACTATTTGGGTTTGATGGAACACCACCGATTGCGAAATTTGATGGAACAAGCCCTAGAGGTCAATGGAGATTGAGATGAAGAATAAGTTCATCAATCATGCTGGAATCTAGGTATTTATTTTCTAAATTCGTTTAAAAAATTAATATGAATTTGTGAAATTTGGGTTGATTTGTTCCTGACTGAAATTTGGGTTTGATTTGTTCTAAATTGATTCTGAAATTTGGAAATTTTGTGATTTGTTCTTGATTGAAATTTGTAAAATTTGTGAAACTAGTTTTTGAATGATCATTCTGAAATTGCAGTTAGATTTTGTTTTTTGAAATTCTGTTTTTTTCTCAATTCTGGTGAACTGTGCAAAAATAAACGAATGGTGAACATTCTGTGATAAAGGAATTTTTTTTTTTTTTTTTTTTTACAAAAATGTTGAAAAAATTAAAAACATTTTTTTAAAGATTTTGGGAGGTTTTCCTCGTGAATTCATTTTGTTATTTCAACTGATTTGGAGCCAAAATTTGTTGATCTTTGATGAGGTGGTCCATTTGGCACCTGCTATTCTTTTTGCCAAATTTGACAACAGAAATGACATCTGCTAGATTTGGCAAGAAGAATAGCAGGCCATTAGAGACCCCTTTTTGGTCACTCTTGCTAAATTATAATTTTGGCGGCTCCTTTGGCAGCTCCATTGGAGATGCTCTTAACCATTGTTCGACGTAGTAATAGTTGCTACTGATTTTTATTCAATCTATTTTGGTGTGCAAACTACCTACCAATTTTTGGCGCTGTTGTTGGAGATTTCCAGTAAGTTATTTAATTTAGAGATTTCAATTATTTTTTTTTGTTAATAACTTCTTTTTTTTTTTTTTGTGTGTGTGTGTGTGTGTGTGCGCGCGAGCGCGCAGATTGTCTTATATAGTTGAATTAAAAAATAAAAAATAAAAAATAAAAAATTGATACCGTGACACAGAGGAAATACCCATACTGGACATATACCTTGTAGACTAATTACTTGTGCTGGACAAATAATAATTGTCCTCTACAGTAGTCCAAATATTATTTGTCTAGCACAGGTAATTAGTCCACAAGTTATATGTCCAGCATGGGTATTTCCTTTGTGTCACGGTATCAATTTTTATATTTTTTAATTTTTTTTAATTCACCTGCGTAAGACAATCTGCACAAAAAGAAAAATTAGTAACAAAAAAAAAAAAAATTGAAATCTCTAAATTAAATAACTTACCAGATATTCCCAGCAACGACGCCAAAAATTGGTAGGTCGTTTGCACGCCAAAATAAATTGAATAAAAATCTCTAAATTAAACACAAAGGGACAGCAGCTGGCCCCAAATGGAAAAGATCCCTTCAACAAAGTTGGAGAGGGGCTCAAAAAAAGGCACTTTACAGTTTACATCAAGCCACGGAAATAATCACAAATAAGGCCAAACTATCATGCAAGAAAAGGCCTAAAAGAGGGGTAAAGAGACAAGTGGCAGCAACTGTTCTCAAACAGAGGAGAGCCCTTCAACAATGTTGAAGAGGGGCTCAAAAAAAGATATTTTACAGCTTATGGCAAAGTCCAAAACAACTCACAAATAGGCCTAAGATACTATGCAAAAATTGGCCTAAAAAAGAGATAAAGAAGCAAGTGAT